TAACCCCTAAACCCCTAAACCCCTAACCCCTATAGAAAGATTTTTTAATTCGTATAAAGAAATTAAGGATAATAGGTTATTATTTATATGGATATTTAAGTCTATATAAAATACTATACTTTGTAGGATACTATTCTGCCCATTTCATTTTGGGGTTGGAATTATATAAAAACTTTGCAAGTCTATGACTATGTAAAGATTGTTTAAGTTTGCAATTGTAGAAAGACTATCTATGTATACGACTGTATAGAAATCCTTTTATTTCATAACTATATATAGACTGTTTAAATTTGTGACTATACAAAAATTGTTTAGGTCTGTGATTATAGATAGACTTTTTGGGTATGCGACTATACAAAAACTTTTTTAGTTTATAATTATATATAGACTGTTTAGATTGGTAACTATATAAAGATCTTCTAAGTCTACAACTATATATAGATTGTTTGAGTCTGCAATCATATAAAGACCTTTTAAGTCTGCGACTGTGTAAAGACTTTATATCGTGGAAGCAAAACTATTAATGATGGTAGTCTTTAATTCTAAAGATTTTTTAGTTTGTATACAAAGTTTTTGGATAATAGACTTTCTATTGGGTCTTATGCTAACTATAATCGATATAGGTAGTGGAAATGGATGGAAATATTCTAGAGAAAGAGATTCAAATCAAGATACTAGATATCCTAACGTTGAAATGAAACCGTTGATAACAGCTAATACTCTTTTTTCTTATAACGATTTCTTAATTTGTACAATAATGTTATAGACAGAATACTTTCTACTGGATTCTAGACTAATTGTGATTATAATAGGTAATAGAAATGGATGAAATATTCTGGAGAAAGGGATGAAAGTTAGAACGGCTGATGTCTTGACGTAGTAGGGGAAATTTCCTATTTCTCAATTCGAAAGATTATACAGCTCGTCCCTGTGTTTGGATATGGACTTTGCGTCTCTACTGAATTACGGGGACGAGCTGTATATAGAAGTGGACTTTGTACTTCCGTCAAATTACGGAGAGAGCAGCTATGCTTAGATAGGGATTTTACGCTTTTGTTGGATTTACAAAGTCTAATATCTCTGATTCTGAAGAAATCTTGACTCAGCGAATAAGTTGAAAACTATGGAACTCAGAAGCGAAGCTGTCTTCGCTGAGTTTGAAGAAAGTAATTCGGAAAACGAGTCGAGGATAATAGAAGTTAGAAGTAAAACTGTTGATGACAGACAGTTCTCAATTTATAAGGACTTTTTGATTTGTACATAGACTTCTTAAGTCTGAGACAAAGCCTTTCTCGAAGCTTCATATAGTCTTGTGTGAAAAGACTTGTTGAAAAATTTGAGGGCGAGTTCATGGAATATCATCAAATAGGTTTGAATCAAAAACTCTATAATCATTTTATACTTACAAAGACTTTCTGGTTAATTGTATAAGCTTTATGACTAAAAGTATATAGTTAAAAGACGTAGTAGTATAAAGTTGCAATATTGAAAATTTCAAAAGATAGTGGATGATGGTAGGCGTTCTGTGAATGAGCAGTGTGTATATAGAAATATATATTTGTATAATGTATATAGACAGTACTCTGTTTGTGTGGTTTGTATGCCTAGAAACCCTGGAAAATGGGAAAAGTGGGTCTCCCGGTCGCACCCCAACAAAACCCTTTGAGGGTTTCCGGTCAATTTCAGCTATGCTGTACGATCTTTCTACTGGCCTGATTGTTTTCAAATTTAAACCATACATAATTCAGGTATGGGAATAGAACTTCTGAAAATTTCAGGCGAAAGCATCCACTGTAGCGGAAAGCATCGAGGGTCAGAAGGTCACTGGCATCGAGCATCTGAGGGCTTTTTCTGCCCATACTTAAGCAATCCCTACCGCCTGGCATCGAGCCTCGATGCCGTCCCTGCCCTTGGATAGATGACTATATGCCAAGTTTCAAAATCCATATGATCAATCTATTTTTGTACGATAATTCTTATATATATACAATTCTAACCTTCTATCGATGCCGTCTACAATCCAATTCGTCCAAACTGTTCCCGAAGATAGATAATGGCCTCACAGAATCGATTCTGTCTCAACCGAGTCCCAGCGAATTGGGAGAGATGTTGTACGAGTTCTTTTTCGTTCGGGAAGTCCAGCTCGTATTCCTGACTCCAGATCCGACGGATCGAATCCAGCTGAATGTCAACCTCTGTGTTGGACGAACGGCCGAATCGTAGCATGGCAAAGAGAGGCAGCATGGTCTGGGGGTATTCACATGGCAGCCGGGTGGTCGGATGCTGACAGATGGTCTGTGGCAGACCGCAAGCGAAGCAGCAGGAGTAAGCAGTGTAGTAGACCTTGGCACGCCAATCCTGATACCACTCTCTGGCCTCGAGGCTTGACGAACTCGTACAAGAGATCAATTCATGCTCCGAGTCTGGCTCTTGATTGATCGTACAAATCCAGCATCGTTGATACCAGCGAGTAAGTTCCTGACAAAGGATGGCTTCCATCCGGGTTGCATTCTGCCAGTCTGAGTGGATCTGGGAGGTAAGGCTTGTACGAGCAAGATCCTGCTGTCGGAATACGGTGCGGGCGGCCACTGGCACGTACGAGGAAGGCGCAGGGGTGGAAGACGAAGAGACGGATGGCGATGGACAGTGCGGGGTTTCCACCGGAGGCGAGGGTCTGGCGTACGGAGGGGTGCTGGACGGATGATAGACGGGCGACCAGGTCTCGTCAACCATCTCGTCGTCATCAGGCTCCGAGAGTGGTGCGGCGTTGGGATATATATCCGGCAGGGAATGAGACGGTGGAGTAAACCGAATCGGGGATAAAGTCCTGATAGAGGAGCTGGCTGACACAGGAGCCTCGGTAGGAGCCGGGAAGTGGTACGGGGGCGAAGGGACAAGGGCAGCAGGCGATGGCATGTCTGACCCGATGGGCGACGGTGATTCGGGGGAGAGGCTGTGTGGCTCGAAGATTGACAGGGATGTAGGATCATACGACGAATCCGGATCACAGACTTCACACGGGAGTTCCCTAGTCGAATCAGACTCCTGGGCCGCCTGGCAGGCCGTACGGACATGGCCATCGAGATAACCGTCCAGCAGGACTCGACGGCAGGGAGGCTGGGTGGCGGTCAACCACTGCCGGACAATCGGAAGCGCATCGGGTGTGTCGTTGGCCTTGAAGACCCACGGCGGAGGATCATCCATCTTGCGAGGTTGAACGAGGATCGCCTCGCTGCGTAACCCATCGCGGCCAGCCCGGCCGGTCTCCTGCGCATAGTCCAAGAGGCTATACGGCCATCCGATGTGGATGACCGTACGGATGTCGGGGATGTCCATGCCAAGTCCCAGCGCGCTGGTGGCGACGAGGATCGCTTTTTTGGTGCGGCGGAAGCGATCGAGAATCCCATCCTGATCCACCTGTTGACGGGGCACGCCCAACGCATCCGTCTTCATCCGAGAGTAGAAGGCCTCACAGTCTAACATTGACGCCAGTGCATTCACATGCGTGATCGTAGAGGCATAGACCAACACCCGTCCTTGCTCGATCGCCTTATATCGAGCGCGGATAAATCGTACAATCTGGGGATCGTACATCCACTGCTGCGAGCCTTGCTGGTCACGAGAGATCTCGGGTCGGAATGATCGATAGGCGATGTTGGGCCGGGTGGTGCGATCGTGGATCAAGAATGCATCCTCACGGGAGCAATGCAGTCGCTGCCAGAACTTGGGTTGAAGACTGGGTGGCAGGGTGGCGGTCAAAAAGATCGTCTGGACATTGACATCCTGCAAGCGCCCCAGTTGGGCCAGCTGAGGACGAAAGGTCGCGCTGTGGTTCAAGATCATATGACATTCGTCGATGACAATCCGATCAAGCCGCCGAAGACTCACTTGCCGATTCAAAAACGTACGGAACTCCATAGTCAATGCCGATTCTGGGGTCACAAGCACGATCGATGCTTCGTCCGGCGTGTGATGGCTTTCCCACTGGCTGCAGGGAATCCCATACTTTGTACAGCGATCGAAGAGCTCTTGCCGCAGGGCGATCAAGGGCACCACCACCACCGTCAGTCCTTTGGTGATCCACGCGGGGAGTTGGAAGAGCAGACTCTTGCCGCCGCCGGTAGGCATCACCGCCACGACGGGGCTGTGGCCATGTTGAATCGCCTGCAGCGCTTCGAGTTGTTTCCCCCGGAACTGCACAGACGGATCGCCAGTGAAGTGGCGGAATGCTTCGGTGATATCGCAACGCGCCAGATTAAAACGCCGCGTGATCTGCGTCTCTTGCTGCTCATCCTCCCAGGGGGTGAACTTCCGTTTCTTGTTGACACCATTCTCGGGGGAGAGGGGATCGGTAAACCCAAGAAATTGATGCCAATCCTGGCTTACTTGTCGGAACATCAGACGACGGTGGGCCATGGAGCCAGGAGCTTCGTGCAGCTGGCGAGCGTAGGCAATGCCGGCCACGTGGGCAGAATGCCCGGCCTGCAGATCCTGAAAGTCTTCCTCCGAATCTTCGTCGTTCTCGTCCGCATCCTGGTTGTCCGATTGCTGCGGGAATCCGCTGCTGGTGCGGAGAAAACGGCGACTGAGCGCGATGGCAATGTGCCGCCACGAAGCGATATTCACACTCTGCCCCTGCAGGCCGAGACGGGATTCCCGTTGGAGGACTTCTTTGAGACGTCGGCTGGTCCAGGGACGCTGGCTGAAAGGATCCTGGTTCCACAGGAGTGTGGTACGAGAGGTAGGGGGAGTCACACCCTCAGGTTGGACGAGAGAATCAAAACGCTCCACCAGAGGCAACACCAGCCAGAGATATTGGATGAACACCGTACCCACTGCCCGAGGGAGATACCGATGGATCAGCTTGACGTCGTTGTTCACGTGGAAGCCTTTGTGGTATCGGGTGGCAATCACCACTTGCTGATCCTCGACAAACACGTTGCGGTGGCTATTCGCGGTGTTCCGGTGTCGGACGGAAAGCATCTCAGGGGCGCGGGCAGGCTGTCCGCCACAGAGGTGGATCAGAATCGCCAGCTTTTCCCGGAAGAGATTGACGCGAGAGAGATACCGCTTGATCGCGTTGATACGGAAGTTCTGGAGATTCGGATCCACAAACTGTCGTCGCAGCGTGGGGTCGGTGCGGATTCGGTCAATCAACCATTTCGCTCCGTTGACCGGCCAGAGGGTACGAGAATCCAGCAAGAAACTCCAGCCGGCCGAGGCTTCCAATGGATCATCGGCGAGAGTGGACCATGGGATCACGGGTGCCGGCGTCATGGTGGAGAGGTAGAGGATGTCGTACGAAAGAAGATCTTGACAGGCTTGGGTCAAACTGTGCACCCATCCACGAAGTTCGCCGGTCGTAAAGCTCAGCTGCCGATAGAGTAAACGGTCAGGGCCAACCCATCCAACAGCACCCGGCTGCGTCGAATTGAAGGCTACTCTCATTCCATAGGTACGGAGATCGAGGATGGATTGCATCGGAGAGTTCGTGCCTCGGACCATGAACGTTTGCATGATCAGATGAACCCATTCGTGGAAGCCCTTCTTGGTCCGAGCTGCCTGAGAGAAGGACAAAAGGGCAGGGGAAGAGGATGTCGGAGACGAAGGCGGGGGAGGGGGGGATGGACTCTGGTAACCTTCATCCTCGTGCGCAAGACAAAAGTCCGGGTCATCAAGGGGACTCTGCAGATCGACTTCGAAGTCGTGATCCCAACCTTGGAGACTTCGTGCAATCTGTTCGGCATAGGGATCCAACCACAACGCCCTGCCCAGCACCATGAAACGAGCGAGCTTGATGATCTTAGAGAGGATAGGGGGAAAGGAGTCTGGGGTATGCCAGCTGGTGCTGGAGTGGCTGGTGCTGGAGCCACCAAGGACCGCCAGCACGCACAGCATGGCGCATTCACGCTCATGGAACCGGACGGTTTGATTCAACAGCTCCAGGCAGAATCCAAGACAGGCCTTTTCGAGGGGTGGAAAATGGAACGGCGAGGCGGCAGGCTCCGAGGCTGGGCTGCCACGATCGGGGTCACTGCCGTATGGATCTGGGGATGCGGACCGGCTGCCACAATCCGGGTCACTGCCGTATGGATCGTGGGGTGCAGACTGCGCGGGAATTCGGGTCGCCAGGCGCCACAGCTGATCCCAGGCGTCCTGTTGCCGCCGAGTGAACTTGTAGTACGGGTAAGCCGGATGAGCGGGCTCCGTGGGGTGTTGCGTACGAGCGAAGAAGGTCAGAATCTGCTGCCATGGCGCCACGTGCCCGGAGATGGTTTCGGGGTCCATGTAGGCCAGCAATGGTCGGTGAGGCGACCCGTGAAGCTCGGTGCGAGCGACTTCGATCCGAATGAGATGTCCACAGCTCTTGGCGATCCGCTGCGTCGTGCGAGCCACCGCGTCCATGGCCTGGCGAATCCGATATACGGGATCTGTGGCATCCGGTTCAGGGGTTGCAACCAAGGTCTTGAGGATTTCTGGATCTTGGCCAGCGAGATATGTGGTCCATCCTGTGCGACGGAGCCAGGGAGTGGCTTCGTTGATCTCGGCCTCTTGGATTCGGGGATCGACTGATGGATACAACTGTGCATGTTGTGTTTCCAGGTGTGCAAAAAGATCATCCGTTGGCGAACCCTCCGAAGCAGATTCCTCTGGACTGGATCCAGCAGACGGCGTCACTACAAAAAAACTAGAATAGGGCCCACGACGATACAACTATTAATAGTGGACTAGTTGGGTGTGAAGGGTGATCTAGGGTGCTATAGATTGTTGATGCTCGATGCGTTTGGTACGCCAATGCTCTTGCATGCTTTTTTTGGTACTACAGATGTATCCACAAGTGCTGGACCAGGTACACTGGATCCCATTGGTGTACACTAGAAGATGGGGTAAAGGTGCGGATCCATAGGTGATGAGATCGGCGGGAAAAAGGCCCTCCAGTTGGGGCCAGAGAACAAGGAGAGCCAATTTAATTGTGGCAGCCAGTTCTATACCAATCTTGCAGCCTGAGATTCTGTGCTTATCCATCAAATAAGTGACCACCTAATGGAGTCGTACACCAGACTAGCATTCATAACAGACCAACAGAGAGGTCGTACGAATTAGTATGAATAAGCTCTAACAGAGGATGGCAGTCTCAGGATCCATAGTAAATGTGGAAAAGAGAAGTTTGAAGTTGAGAGTGATTTAGAAAGCGTGGAGAATATATATTTGTTAGTGTGGGGATCTAGGGATGACATGATTTATGGTTTCGGGTGTTTGATCTAACACATCGTTATCAGATCTCTATGATGAAATATATATCCGAAAATAGATTACACAAGGTAAGGTCTAGATTTGAATGGGATTCGTACCAAAATTGTTCTATTATGCAAACTGTATCAACATAACTATCAAACTATCACTCTAGAGTACAAAAAACCATCAGACTATAGCTAATAAAACAGATCATCATCCCCCCCTAGAGTATAAACCCCATTAGTCGGTGCTAGAGGGACGACTATTCCAGCAAAAGAAGCTAATCCTATGGTGGCCCCTGGTTCAGATTCTTCGGCGGTCAGATATTCTTCGTCATCTGACTACCCAGAATCCTCAGTCTGAAATGCTGCAGCCCCCTGAGGAAGAGTGGCGGCATCATTGCTACTTCCCGCCGCACCGTTATCCATAGCGTTGGCCGCAGCTTTGGCTGCACCATTGATTATTCCATTGATTGCAGCATTAGCCACACCATTGGCTACACCATTGGCTGCAGTGTTGGCTGCAGCATTGGCCACACCATTCAGCGCACCATTGGCCGCACCATTAGTTCCACCGGACGAATTGGTCATCTCATCAACCTGGGATTCCACATACACTCGAGTGTCGGGCGGGGCTTCATATCGAGGGGCATCGGGAATCCGTGATCGGCAGAGATGGAACCGTTCGCGCCAAAAACAATTGGCACAGCAGCCCTGCCAGAAACCTGGAATTCGGATAGCGAAAGGTCCAAATGGGTTTCCTCTGGGTGTCGAAGGACAGGTGGTGCCTAATTGGAGGCCTCGAGACGCGATGAGGAGTCCCCAGACGTACGCGGGACGTCGAGTTTGGAGCTGCGGGGGAGGTAGTCAGCATATAGTCCAAAGATAGAGATCCATAACATACCATTTCCACCCGGATTTCCGGACTCTGATCGGCTGCCCGTACTCGCACCAGGAATTCAAAAGAGGGGTACGTCCACAGAAGCTCTTGCTCCCGAAGGTGGCAGAGCTCTCGGAGAGCGAGGTTACCGTAGTTGGTTAACCGGACATATCGAAACTGCGCCCCGCCGTACAAAGCAGGGGGCGTTCCAAGCTCTGTGAAGAGATTGTGGGACTGGGGTTCCTGTAGAACAGGATCGTACAACGTCCGACGCACGACCGCAGTTCCAGCGAACTGCGTAATGGTATCCTGGAGAGCCTGTTTGGCGGCTGCGGTGAGGGTGGACGCGATTTGAACGGTCTTGGTGTTTTTGGATACTTTGGTATCCGTGGCGGCTTTGGAACCCCCACCCCTCGTGGCGCCCCTGCCTCTTCCTCGTCCTCGGGTGGAACCTCTTCCTCTGGTAGAACCTCGTGCTCTCGGAGGCATAGTGACGATGATGAATCATCGAAGATGGCATTCGAACGACGGGATCGTAACCGAGTTAAATATTGCATGGCGTAGGGCATCGTGCCTCTGGACGAGGGAAGAAGTCTTTGATCGAAAATAGATTCCAGGTATCCGGCGTAAAGTCTTTCAAAGCTGTGTGAAAGGGTAACAGGAGTCCAAAAGCGTTGGTCTGGATAGCGAAAATAGATAAGATAAAAGACGAACCTTGGCCGGTACAAAGCCTTTCAGCCCAGTGTCATGATCAAGAAGCTAGACATAAGAATCACTCCATGGATGCATACCACCATACGAAGCCTTCCTGTTGGTGTGTCTGATGAACACTGCGGGCAACTATCAACGGCATCAGGCCCATAGACCAGAACTGGGGATAAGATTCGACTATAGTGATCCTGTCCTATAACGCAACTATACAAAGTCTGTCCGTTCATGCGTACAATGAACACACAGGCTGCCATGGTCTCAAAGCCTGGCCAAGAGGCCAGGTATCCAGAGACTCGATGCGGGTATTCGGAATCTCCCACTTCGGTCTTCCCCGAGAACGCAACCAAGCCTTGCGGCTCATGTGTCCAATAGACATGCTGGCTGGCAGCGGATCAACCCCAACAATCGGATACCCAGGCGCTAGTGTTCGCTATCCTATTGACACACCCAATGAATAGGCTGACTGCCAAGCGCAATAGTATCAACCCAAAAATAAGAATGGACGACATCGAATCCCTACTGTAACACTAGGCGATAAGGGCCTATACCATCGACCCTCCATCTTAATACTACAATACAAAGCCTCTCGATTCTGATCACCACACTAGCAACGCAATCAGCGCCTCTTCAAACTTCCACCTTAACACTGCAATACGAAGTCTCTGGATTCCGATCTCCGAACCATACACTAGACAGCGGCGACCCACATTTTTCGAATCTCCACTATGGCCCTACTGTACGGAGCCTCATGATTTAGATCTTCTAACTATACACTAAACAGCGGAAACCGGCACCTCAGTTCAGTTTGCAGGCCATTCCCAAACTGAACAAAAAGAGGTAATTGTACGGAATCTTTTAGTTGAAATCCCAAATGAATATGTCAGCTTACAAAAATCCACATTATTCAAAGACAGCAACCTTAACATCATATTCACTTTTGTTTATTTCGTAGTCACTTTCTACTTGGTACGAAGATCAAGAGTATCCGAAATCTTGACTTCGCGTTTACTTTTGTTTATTTCTTATTCACTTTCTGATTTGTAGAAAGATCAATAGTATCCAATAAAAACAGTCTGAGCTTTGTCTTCACTTTTTGTTTGTTTATTAGTCACTTCCTGGTCCGTACAAAGAAGCTGTTGAAGATATTTCTTTACTTACCAAGGCTTCCCAGATCTGTGATCGTACAAAGACTTCTCAAATCCGCCGCCATACGAAGACTTCCTAGTCGACAACCATATACAGACTGCCTCAATCTACAACCATTTAGTGACTTTCCACTTCTGCAACTATCAGTAACTTTCCACTTCTGCAACCATCAGTGACTTCCCAAATCCGGGACCACACAAAGACTTCCCAAATCTACAACCATACAGCGCTTTCCCAAGTCCGCAATCTTACAAAGACTGCCCCAGTCTACAACTATTAGATGACTACCCAGATCTGCGACCATCGACAACTTCCCAAGTCCGGGACCACACGAAGACCTTTCAAGTCTACAACCATACACAGACTACCCAAGTCTGCGATCATACAACGACTTCCCAAATCTAAAACCACACGAAGACTTCCCAAGTCTACGACTATGCGCAGACTGCCCAGATCTGCGACCGTGGAAAGACTTCCTGATTCGTACAAGGAAACTGGGGATGACAGATTACTATCTACATGGACATTCAAGTCCATATGAAACACCATACTTTGCAGGACGCCGTCCTGCCCATTTCACTCTAGGGTTGGAATCGTACAAAAACTTTGCAGGTCTGCGACTATGCAAAGACTACCCAAGTCTGCAATCGTGGAAAGACTACCCGCGTATGCGACCGTACAAAAATCTCCCCATTCCACGACTATGCACAGACTGCCCGAGTCTGCAACCATACGAAAACCGTCCAGGTCTGCGATCGTAGACAGACTTTTCGGGCATACGACCGTACAAAAACTTTCCCAGTCTACAACCATACATAGACTGCCCAGGTCTGCAATCATTCAAAGACCTCACAAGTCTGCGACCGTGTAAAGACTTCATATCGCGGAAGCGAAACTGTCGATGACGACAGTTCTCAACCCCAAAGATTTCCTGGTTCGTACACAAAGTTTCTGGACAGTAGACTTTCTACTGGGCTCCATACTAACCATGATCAATGCAGGCAGTGGAAATGGATAGAAACATCCCGGGGAAAGAGATTCAAATCAGGACACTGGATGTCCTGACGCTGAAATGAAACCGTTGATAACGGCCAATACTCTTTCTCCTCACAAAGATTTCCTAGTTCGTACAACAACGTCATGGACAGAATACTTTCCACTGGACTCTGGACTAATCGTGATCGTAGCAGGTAATGTAAATGGATGAAATATCCTGGGGAAAGGGATGAAAGTTGGGACAGCTGATGTCCTGACGCAGTGGGGGAAATTTTCTATCCCCCAATTCGAAAGATCACACAGCTCGTCCCTGTGTTCGGATATGGACTTTACGCCTCCACCGAATTACGGGGACGAGCTGTATGCAGAGGTGGACTTTGTGCCTCCACCGAATTACGGGGACGAGCTGTATGCAGAGGTGGACTTTGTGCCTCCGCCGAATTACGGAAAGCAGTCGTATTCAGATGGACTTTGCGCCTCCGCCAAATTACGGAGAGCAGCCGTACTCAGACGGGGACTTTACGCCTTCGTTGGATTTACAAAGTCCAACATCTCTGACTCTGAAAAAAGTATCGACTCAGCGAATGAGTCGGGAACCATGGAACTCAGAAGCGAAGCTGTCTTCGCTGAGTCTGAAGAAAGTGATTCCGAAAACGAGTCGAGGACAATGGAAGTCAGAAGTGAAACTGTTGATGACAGACAGTTCTCAATTTACGAGGACTTCTTGGTTTGTACATAGACTTTTCGAGTCTGAGACGAAGCCTTCCTCGAAGCTTTGCATAGTCTTGTGCGAAAAGGCTCCTTGAAGAACTTGAGGGCGAGTTCATGGAATGTCATCAAACAGGCCTGAACCAAAAACTCCACAATCATTTTATATTTACAAAGACTTTCTGGTTAATTGTATAAGCTTTACGAGTAAAAGTGTATAGTCAAAAGACGCAGTGGTGTAAAGTTGTAGTGTTGAGAATTTCAAAAGGTGGTGGATGATGGTGGGTGTTCTGTGAATGAGCAGTGTGCATATGGAAATATATATTTGTACAATGTATGTAGACAGTACTCTGTTTGTGTGGTTTGTATGTCCAGAAACCCTGGAAAATAAAAAAAGTGGGCCTCCCGGTCGCACCCCAACAAAACCCCTCGAGGGTTTTTGATCAATTTCAGCGACATTGTACGATCTTTCTAGTAGGCTGATTGCTCTCAGATTCGAACTACACATAATTCAGATACGGGAATAGAACTTCTGAAAGTTTCGGGCGATTTCGCCCACTGGATCAGAATGCAGTCTGGGTCAGAAAACTGCTGCCAGTCTACTCTTGAGGGTTTTTTCTGCCCATACTTAAGCAAATCCTACCGCCTGCCAGTCTACCACGCTGCCGTCCCTGCCCTTGGATAGGATATGGAGTGGAAGGAAATATTGGATTGAAGTTGGGCGAAATAGATTAGGGGGAATCCAAATGTGATCTATTAGCCCTGGTGGATCATGGTCAGTCTAGATAGATCATAGTCGGTCCAAATGAATCACGGTCGTTCCAAATGTAATCTAGTGGTCCTGATGGAGCATGGTTCGTCTAGATGGATCTCCAAGGTAAGGACATTTCCTCCGATTCAATCAGGCTACTTCGGGATATCAACTACTACCAATCCATACTCACTGAGCTCCCCAGCATACATAGCATTACGAGCTCCTCTGATCTCAATCTTAAATTTCAATAATAAGCAGTCTCGCCTTCAACGACTGGACTCACGCCTGCTGATTCGAAGCGATAATATGGATACTACTATAACTACTTATATTCTTTTCTTCGGTCTGTCTTATTCCAAACGAAGAGTGTAAGTAAAAGGAGGAAGTAGAGGTAGCTATAGTAAATCTGTACTGTTGGTTTGACTGAGGAGGTATGGATTTATGTCGTTTAGGGAGGGACTGTTTATTATTGAAATTTGGGACTGGGGAGGAAGGAGCGTGTGAAGGGTTACTTGGAGGAGTCGTTTTTTGTTGTGTGTGGGTTGGGATAATTTGATTGTGCTATCGGTTTATTTCTTATTCTTCTATAGCTACCACTTCTGCTGTTTATTTTTAAGGCGTAGATATCTGTTGTTTGGTGTGATGGGAGATTGTAAGTAATCATAGGATTTAGTGTAAGAAGCGCCGACTTCATACAAGGTGAGATTCCCGGGGCATACGGCCCTACCCTATGTACTCTGCGGAAGACTGAAGGAGCTCACCCGCACAGGATCAACCCCGCACGGGGGCTTGCGCGTCGGTTACATCATGGGGCATCCTGGTATTCTTGCAGTAGAAGAAGGGGCCACTCCCCAGGCCCTGATTCCTTCTGCAAGAATCAGCTATTGAATCTACTAGTAGTGTATTCCCCAATCCTCTGTGTCCAGATCCTATAATCCTAAATCCGACTCCCCTGCGGAAGACCATCGAATCGCATACGAATCTATAACCATTCCCTCCTGGATCTCCTGCCGGGTTGACAGGTCGTACACCTGAAACTGTGAACTCGTTACAGATCCTTTGGCTTAGTATTATATAAAAGTAAATACTTCTATCGAGGTGAAAAGAACCGCGGTGGCAGGAAAAGGACTATTTGATAAACTGTATACAACGCGTTCGCTGGTGGGATGCTCTAGACCCGATCGACAATGTACTTGACAATAAAACTTAAAGCAGAAAACAACATATCTATGGCCTCTTGTATCTCATTCGGTGTCCTGCATTTTGGCGTTTCATTTCTTGTGGGAACCTCTAGCTCAGTGCTGGCATCTTGCGACAGCCTGTCTTTGCGGAGGCTCGGTAACTCCGCGCCCCCGACTTGAAACCCAAGTGTCTGGTTCAATTTCATACACTCGGTGTATCGATTTTTGGCTCTCTGATACATATCTTTCACCTTTTCTAGCTTTAGTTGGGCTGGGCCCTTGGCATAAATCAGGGCGTCAATAGTTCCGAGCGATTTTTCAGATTCTTCGCAAATCGATTGGTATACTTTGCATGCTATGTCGTAATTCTCACCATCGATAGCAGAGCAGAGGGCCGGTACCCCATTCACGCACTCCTCACATGCTAGATGAAATTTCTTGGGGTACGCAAGAACTAATGAAATGATATGGTTGTTTCTTGATTTCACCGCCGCGAGAACAATGTTGCCTCGGAGAATCGACGGGGTTGCCGCTCCCAAGAGAAGATCAAAAAGACTTGTGTAGCCATATCTAATAGCAATCACAAGTGGCCCGTTACTTCCCAGATCCCTATAGTCGGTATCATTCAATTGCTCTAACTTTGACATCTCCTTTCTGTTTTCAAGCAGATTTTGTACCCCAGTGTAGTCACCAGTGTAACACTTGATACAAAGGGCATTGTAACGCCACTTCGCTTCCTTATTTCTATTGGCATGGCCCTCGATGATATCAAGCGCTTTTTCGTTGCTATCTCTGTACTCCTCAACCAGCAGATCAGGATCAAAAAAGGCCCCGTTATCAAGAAGTAACTGAATGGTCTTCAGCTGAGAGTTGAGCACAGCGCCCGAAAGCGCAGTATTCTTGACTTCAGCTCCACGCCTAATGAGGTATTTGGCTACCTTAATTTGACCATGCCGGGAGGCAGCACAGAGAGGGGTACCGTAGCCACCGCAAGCTCTATTGATGTCCCGTTCTCTGATGTGTGGCTTTGCAATGAGGTATTGCACGATATCAAGATGTCCTCGAGCTGAGGCAGCGTGAAGAGGTGTTTCTGGATGGCCGGCCGGAAGATAGTTTTCGTGGCGCAGAAGTTCCTTTACCACTGTTATATTTCCAACCCAGGCTGCGGTGATCAGAGGATTATTCGCTGTGTTTGGCATTCGATGCTGAAATGTTTTTTTGGGCGGAGGTAAAAGCATTTTGACTGTGGAAAGTTCGCCTATAAGAGCAGCAATGTCCAGAGCGGTGGTTCCTCCATTTACCACAGGAAGACATCCCTCAATCTCGTCATCATCTCCAAAACAAGAGTTACAATCATCATTCTTCATGTCGGAATGAGAATCCGTCTCAGATATGTCTTCGATGGGGCTGTCGGAGTCGGAATGATTGTCATTGTACTCAGAGTGGCGATGGAATATCGACCAGGTAGCACGTTGAAAATTGATAAGGGTGTCATTAGCGCAGATTGGATCTGCACCCTTTTCAAGGAAGTATTCGATCATAGACTTGTCCCGACTCATGACAGCACATTGTAAGCCCAGAACAAGTAGTTGGTCAAAAGTAGGTTGATCTTGATCTTTGGCATCTTTTCGATCGAAACAGCATGGCTCGAAATAATCTTTCATATCATTTAAATCGGGTTCAATAGTTAGGCAGTACAGTCTCTGAATAACTTCGCGTATCAACAACTTGTTAGATTCCTTAGATCGAGCATTATATCGAGCAGACCTTTCTGATCTGAGGCGGAAATCATTAAGCAATAGATCTTGAACCTCCGACGGCTCAAGCGGCATTTTGTGACACGAGAATCCAACCTATGGAGCGGCGTGGTCTTCAGGATGCGGCTACCCTTTATAGGCCCATGTGATCTAAGTTTGGTTCAGGTATGGGAATTTTGGCCACATTTACAGTGAAAGGCCATTTATAGATTACCATTTATAGCTTATGTATTACGCTCATATGCACGTGGTGAGACAAAAGTAGTTACTTACAGTTATAAGTAGACCTCGCCAATACCAGCCCACCGCGGCACCGCCCAAACCCGCCCGCGAAAACCCAACCGAAAAAAGCAATACTTGCTGCTTTGAAAACAGGTGAACACAAGCTCAAGGTCTACTACAGTCACTAGCGAAATCTGCTTCCTCCCTGACATTTGCTTTTCTTTTCTGCCAAGGCACTAGGACCAAATGTTATTCAACGGGCATCAAAATAAAATCCTTATCGAATGTATTGAGTTGTAATTTCCAGCGAAATTACCATTTCAAATATACCTCAAGATTTGTAGGCATGGTTGCCCTCATTATTCGAAGATTAGATGCTGATGCTTCCACTAATCAGGAATAGTGACTCTTCTGCCTACGTAATATGTGAGGACTCCGACCAAGCGCCCAGGCGCGCGAGGTCGTACGTGTCGGCCAAAAGACCTAATATGACAAGACTAGCGTCTTGTCATGCCTGGGACCGGTATATATAGTAGCGCACAGTTGGGGCCGCCACGCAGGGGCGCGCCCTAACATAATATCCAATGATATTACGTAGGTTCTAAAGTTGAATGGAGCGGATTATGGTATTTCCATAACGGGACATAACACGTGACCTAATTCGACAGGCCAAGGCGGTGTTAATTTGCTATTGGTGCCCCTTCCAGTGGAAGTGGGTCCACGAAACTTGGCCTTGAGGTTTCGGTGCGGCGCGCCTCGCCCCGTTGCCAATTCAGCAGAACAGACTTTCCCAGCAATGGGGCTTCATGGAAGGTTGCACTGATCAGATATCTCTGCCAACAACCGTCAATTGCATCACACAATGAATTGGACAAGATGAGTGCATTACAAGGCTGATCTTGGCATTTCTTTGCATCGGTGGGGTGAGTGGAGAAGACGGCTCCTGCCAATAGCATCTCTTCTCTAACCACCCGCTGCTGCACATCGTGTTCATCATGAGGCTCAGCCTCAGAGGCTGAGTCTACCCAGTTGGCAAGTAGTTTCCCTCTGTCTTACAGCGCTTCTTTCCTTTTCTCAAGCCTCCTCCGCTCTCCTTTGCTCATAGTGGCATATGCTGTCCCCATGAGTTAGGCCTCTATTGCACACCAAACGTCAGGACATTCGAAAGTTCACGCGGGGAACTGATTTTCAGGCTTCTTGTCTCCCGTTGAATCCATGTCAGATCCTACGGGGTACACTGTGGGCTGGATATGCGCCTTGCCCGTAGAATACGTTGCCGCACAAGAATTCCTTGATGAAGAGCACGAAAAACCCAGCTTTGTGTCTCCAAATGACACAAACGACTATACATTAGGCAAGATGCACGAGCACAATGTGGTCATCGCAGTCTTGCCTGACGGTGAATACGGCACAGCTTCCGCGGCCAATGTAGCCACAAGCATGCTGAACACCTTTCACAACATCAGGATAGGCCTCATGGTCGGCATCGGTGGTGGCGTACCAAGCGAAAAACATGACGTTCGTCTAGGCGATGTCGTGGTCAGTGCGCCTCGTGGCGATCAGGGTGGTGTCTTCCAGTACGACTTTGGCAAGTCGATCCAAGGGCAAAGTTTTCAATATACGCGGTTTCTAAACCAGCCACCAACTACACTTCGCACTGCGATGACGGGAATACAGGCGCAATATAAGAGAAAGGGCCATAAGCTTACGGAGGCCATTGACATCATTCTCGATACAAATGTTCGGCTGCGCAGCGAGTATGAACGTCCAGAATCAACCACAGATAGGCTCTTCCAGCCCTCTGTCAACCATGAGTTAGATTGCGATGCTGCATCCTGTGCAAACGATGCCTCAAACTGGCTTCCGCGGCGTGAGCGGTCCAATCATGAAGATAATCCTGCAATTCACTATGGTCTTATTGCATCTGCCAACCAGTTAATGAAGGATGCTTTGATTCGCGATAGGCTAGCGGCGGAGAAAGACGTTCTCTGTTTCGAAATGGAAGCTGCCGGACTGATGAACACGTTTCCTTGTTTGGTTATCCGGGGTGTCTGCGACTACTCGGACTCGCATAAGAACAACCAGTGGCAAGGGTATGCAGCGATGGTGGCAGCTGCATATACGAAGGATCTCCTACAGAGAATCCCTCTCAACCGAATTGAAGCTGAGGAGAGGATAACTGCTGTTGTGTCTGGTTAGTCTAGCGCATTCTTTTAATGATTTTGTCAACAAATATTGACTTGAGCATTACGTAGAGGGGCTGAAAGGGATTCAACATCGCTTAGACCAAGCATACAGTCAACACGAGCAGCACTTTAGTGAACAGAAAGCAAGAGTCTTAACGGATAAACAGCGCCTTTGTCACCAAGTGTTCAAGGTCGTTAACTTCGCGGAACAAAAGAACATAAACCCTCAACGTGCTGAGGGAACCTGTCGATGGGCTTTCCAGAGCTCTGAATACATCCGTTGGTGGAATAGCAACTGCAGCAATCTTCTCTGGGTGTTGGCTGACCCAGGCTGCGGCAAATCTGTCCTCGCTAGATCGATAATCGACAGTTACTCAGAGACCTCTCATCCAACTGTGAGAATATGTTACTTTTTTTTCAAGGACAATGATGAACAGAATAGTCTTGCTACGGCACTATGTTCGGTACTTCATCAGCTATTTAGCCAGCATTCTGACCTATTGACACATGCCATTCCGTCCTGGGAAAAGAATGGGGGGATGCTTCGACAAGAAGTTGACGAGCTTTGGCGGATTTTGATGGCGGCAACATCAGCCGACATGTCGTGCAAGACCATTTGCATATTCGATGCACTTGATGAGTGTCGTGAAACGGATCAGCGCCGATTAATTGAAAAGCTCCAAGCGTTTCATCTCCAAACATCTTCATCAACAGAGCAAACCTGTTTGAAATTCCTGGTCACCAGTCGTCCCTACGATGATATACAGGATCAGTTTTGAGTAATCACCGATTCGTTTCCGCATATACATATCAAGGGGGAAGAGCAAAATGACCAAATCCATGAGGAGATTGATCTCGTGGTGAGGATTCGAGTGAAAGAACTAGCCGAGACAGTACCACTGTCGCCAGAGCTTCATCATCGAATCGAACAGCAGCTGCTTCAAATGGAACACCGTACATATCTCTGGCTGCACCTATCCATTGATGATATCCCTACTACCTTTAAGCACAACCTTCGACCTGCAAAGAGTTCGATCACGCTTATACCACCTTCTGTGGATGCAGTATACGAGAAGATCCTCTGTCGAGTCCCAGCAGATGAAATGGACATAGTCAGAAAGATATTAGAGATAATCGTGGCTGCACGACGTCCTATAACAATACGAGAGATGGCTGTGGCGCTAGGTATTGCCACCTACCCCGAGGCACGAACAACAATGGAGGCCGGCCTAGATCCAACTCATCTGCAGAGAAGAATTCGAAGATTATGCGGCTTCTCGTCTTTATTAACAACTCCAAATTCTATCTTATCCATCAGACTGCCAGAGAGTTTTTGATTCAAAAGGAAAATCTGAACAATCTCCATCTTACATATTGGAGCAGCCTGAGTAACGCAGAGGACCAGATGGCTGAGATCTGTCTGCGGTATCTTTTGATGGAGGACCCGGAAGACGACGAAGGCCAACCGAGATTCAACATGCGAGACCTTTTGGAGTACTCAGCAGTACATTGGGCCGATCACGTACAGAAAATGACTTAGGGGTTGGACCAGGAAGTGCCGTATCGACTACATCCAGTGTATGATATGCACAAAAAACGGGTTTCCCTATGGTTTCCTATCTTTTGGAGGGCAGTAATGCCACACAAAAGCGTGCGATCAATGAATGCACTCAATCTGGCAGCATTTAACGGCCATGAACAGGAGGTTCAGTTTCTACTTGCTATTAAGAAGTACGATATCAACGCGGCAGACAAAACAAGAGGAAACCCATTGATGTGGGCCTCGCGGAACGGACACAACAAAATTGTGCAGGCTTCAGGCAGCTTCTTCTGGAGGACACGAAGAAACCGTGCAAGCACTGTTAAAGCACGGAGCCGATGTCAACGCCCATGGTGAATACTACGGAAATGCTCTCCAGGCAGCTTCTTCTGGAGGATACGACACAATCGTGCAGATACTGCTAGAGCACGGAGCCGATGTCAACGCCCAGGTCAGCGCTCAGGGTGGATTCCACCGAAGTGCGCTTCAGGCAGCTTCTTCTAGAGGACACGACAACATCGTGCAGATGCTGCTAGAGCACGGAGCCGATGTCAAAGCCCTGGAAAGTTACCACGGAAGTGCACTCCAGGCAGCCTCTTCCGGTGGACACCACAAAATCGAGCAGATGCTGCTGGATCCCGGAGCCGATCAATCTGTACGCTATCGCTCCCCTTTCAAAAAGCTGAAGAACTTTATGAGTCGTAAGAAATATAGAGTCTAATGAAATACAATTCTACTGCCTTCATCCTACACTCTCAAACACCTTGGTATCGGTACAATAATCATTTCTCATCATTGGTATATCTTTTGTCGTTATACCACAATTGCATCGTCCAGTACACAATCGACTCAAGTTCGTACCGGTGCTGCGTCATGAGTACAGGGAACTGAGGGATTAGCAAGAGAAAAACCCACAAAAAGGGAGTGAAACGTACCTCAGCGCAGGTTTTTCCAGCCTCAAAGCAGTTGCGACAATTCGTGCTATGATCCGAATCCTGAAGGTAATTGAATTCGAAGGGCATAGTCAAGTACTTCCTCTCTGCGACCCACGCCTTGATTGAATCCCTCATGCACTTCAGACACACGTGTGTCGTATGCACCACCGAGTTCGACATCCGTCTGCGCATCGGGTCAGAAGCGGGAAGCTTTCTTTTACGAGAAGGGGCAGGCGAAGGGCTCTCCATAGTGGTGGGGGGGGGGGGGGGGCTTGACAAAGAAGTGGATGAGGGGGAGAAGTGAGAAAGAGGGAAGTTTCAAAAGGGGAGATAAAGCAAAAGTGTGGAAAAAGTAAGGTCACATTTGCTGGAATTCACTACTATACGACCCTTCACTTTAAAATTCGCCCCAACTCCCTGCATTATTCTCAACTTTTACTTGCTAAACGCATATGAAAGGCAGCGTAAATATCCCCGATTCACAAATCTGGCAGACTCACAGGGAAATCCACCTCAATTTTGGTCATCAAAATCTGATGATGATTGTAAACTACGGTCCCAGCTTTAGAACAATGATCTTAGGTAAGTACTAGTAGATATCAAAAACAGAACCAAGGGATTTGTTTGTCAAGATCTATGTTGTTAGACTATACTTGAGTATTTACAATATGTATTCAACGTTTACATTCTAAAGTTCATGACTTCTAAAGTTTTGATCAATACCAATGAGAAAGACGTTCAAGAGTGGAATCTTTTTATTGTGGATTTCGATCTTGATGCTTGGGCTTCTGAGGTCCATTGGCTGGTTTAAATAGACACCAGAGGCATGTCTAGCATAGCTTGTAGCCATTGTATCATGGGAGTCTAAGAGTCTGGCTCCGAGTTACTAGGCCTGGTGGCCGGAATGTAGACAATCGTGTAGCGGACGATTTTGAAGGAGATGGTTTAGCATCCTGGATGTTGGTTAGTCAAGAAGTTGGATGGAGAGGAGATAGGACATACTGTGTGAGTTTCGGGTGCCGTGGAGGAGGTTTCTGCCTCTATCCGCTCCACGGCGTGGACCCATCTGCTCGTGGGCGTGAGCAACGTACGATCCGTTTGCCTCCTGAAGCCAAAGCGGATTTTCAAAGCTGCAGCCATATTCTCCAAGCCGCAGCTGTAGATCGGATGTTTGTCCGGAACTCCTGGGTAGGTGGCACAAGGATTAGGTCACCCCGGATGGTACACGGCGTCCTGCGAGTCAGGTCTGTTTGACCATCTATCCAGCCCAGTGAGCCGCTGGGGCCATCGATGTAGTTTGCCGGACATTGGGTCGTAGATCCTGTCAGGCCAGGATGCGGCCGGACTGTGACTCGCCGGTGGCCAGGCGGATCATTTGCGGCAGTGGACATGTCGGGGGTCTGCGAGACGTCGGCGGCAGACACCGTATCTTGTGTCAGATCGTACGTTCTCTGGAAACAACTGTGAGTCTCTGGCTTGGATGGTGTGTGTGGGTCACATACCCGAATTCCGGCCTTGTAGAACATCCCATCATGCCAGTAGACAGGATGTGGCCCCACCGTCGGCTGGCAGGATTTGGACCTCCATCTAACCAAGACCTGTCCGTGGCCAGACCAAGATTGGCCAGATGGATGGAAGGATTCGCCAGTGGCCTGCCGATACAGAGGATTCTCTGGTATGTGGGATGAGAATGTAGAAAGAAGATGATTGGGAGAGATGGAAGGGAAGGTATTTATACTTAATTAGTTGGGCGGGAAGGTGTTAGGGCGCGCCCCTGCATGGCGGCCCCAACGGTGCGATACTATATCTACCGGTCCCAGGCATGACAAGACGCTAGTCTTGTCATATTAGGTCTTTTTGCCGACACGTACGACCTCGCGTGCCTGGGCGCGTGGTCCTGACACCCGTTCTCTGAGTCGGAGCTGTAACCGCCATCCACAGACTCGTTGCCGTCTGTTGTGGGAGGCGAAGTAGAACGCGCAGACGAGGCAGTCTCTGCTGCCTTCCGTTTCTTGTCAGCTTTTTCTTCTTTCTGGAAAGTAAGGAGGCGCTTCAGTTGAGACAGCGGTTCCTGAGTTGCGGGCTGCGGGGATACCGTTGACGCAGGAGTGGAGGACTTTCATTCTGAATATCGATTTTGGTTTCGGAAATCCATTAGCTGGATTGGAGGGACACCAAAGTCCGGTGGCCGGACTGTAGAAGGTTGTGTAGCGGACGGTTGCGAAGGAGATGGCTTAGCACTCTGGATGTTGGTCGGTTGGCCAGTAGAGGAGAGCAGGGAGAGGAGATAGACCGTACTGTGTGAGTTTCAAATGCAGAGCAAAAAGGCTCTGCCTCTATCTGCCCTACGGCGAGGCAATGCACAACCGGTTCGCCTCCAGGCGGATTCCCATAGGCGCGGCCAAAGTCGCAAAGCCGCAGCCGTAGATCGGATCTTTGTCCTGATCGCCCTATATTAGAACAAAAGCCTAAGCAAATCCGTCAATAATGGCCGCAAAGGTGTTTTGATCAATCGCTGGAGCAAGCTCGTCATCCTCAGGCCACTCGTCATCCTCAAGCTCAGGCCGTCTATCGTCTTTTGGCCAAAAAGACTCTTCGGAGGTGTGAATTAACCAGGTCCTCGACCCGAGACTCCACATAGACGCGGAGTTCCGGCGGTGGCATATATCGAGGTATATCGGAAACCTTCACCCTAACCCCTAAGCTATCCAATCTTTCCATCAACAATTGGCACAACAACCCTGCCAGTAGCCGGGGATTCGGATCGCCCTCGGTCCGAATGGGGTTCCTCTAGATGACATCGGGTAAATGGTGGATAATTGGAGCCCTCAGGACGCCAGTAAAAGGACACTGACGTACAAGAGACGTCCGGTTCGGATCTGCCAAGGGAGTCAGTATCTAGTACGGAGATAGAGGTCAATGGCACATGCCTATTCGACCCGGACCGCAAGGCTACGATCCGCAGATCATACCCGGATGAGAAATTCAAAGGACGGATACGTCCACAGGATGCGTTAATCCTAAGTGTTGCAAAGCTCCCGAAGAGCGAGGTTTCCGAAATTCGTAAGCCGTACCCACTTGAATTGAACTCCCCCGTCCGCAATAGAAGGTGTTCCAAGCTCTATGAAAAAAAAATGGCGCGATCCTGGTTCCTGTAGAACCGGATCATACAGTGTCCGACGCATGACAGCAACTCCAGCAACCTTAGTGATGATATCCTGGACGACCTTTTTGGCCGCTACACTGAAATTTGGAAGGGGTCTTGGTGTTTTTGGACACTTTGGGATCCGTCGTAGTCTTGGATTTGATGGCCGTCTTGGGATTCATCCCCTTCGTGGAGCCCCTTCCTCTCGTGGAACCTCTTCCTCTGGTGGAACCTCTTCCTCTGGTGGAACCTCTTCCTCTGGTGGAACCTCTTGCTCTCGGAGGCATGGTGAAGATGATGAAGGATAGAAGATAAAATTCGAAAAACAGGACCGTAACGGGGTTAAATATGGTACGGAGTAGAGCATCTTGCCTCTATATAAAAGAAGAAGTCTTTGATCGAAAATTGATTCCAGATTATCCAGCTGGAAGTCTTTCAGAGCTGCATAAAAGGGTTACTTGAACCGGAAAGTATTGATTTCTAAAGTTGGATAGCAAAAACAGATGAGATTCTAAAGTTAAAGACGAACCTTTGCCCTACGGTACGAATCCTTTCAGTCCAGTTTCATGATCAAGAAGCTGGACATGAGAATCGACTCCATTAATTCACGCCACTGTACGAAGCCTTCCTATTCGTGCGTCTGATAGACACACTAACTAGCAACGGTCAACGGCATCTGGCCCATACACGAGAAGCTGGGGATGAGATTCAACCACATCGATCCTGTCCTATAACGCTACTGTACTTACGAGGTCTATCGGTTAATGCGTCTCACGAACACACAGGCTGGCAACGGTCAACGGTATCGAATCCTGACCAAGAGGCCGGGTATTCGGGATCTACCACTTCGGTCTTCCCCGAGAACGCTACTATACGACGCTATACTTAAGTACGAAGTCTTCCTACTCAGGCGTCCAATAAACATCCTGGCTGGCACTTGAGCAGCGGGATCGACCACAACAATCGTGTACTTAAGTATCCGGACGCTAGTGTTCGCTTTCCTATTCATGCACCCGATGAATACGCTAACTGCCAAGATCAATAGTATCGACCCATAAATAAGAATATACTACATTGAATGCCTGCTGTAACGCTACTATACGAAGTCTGTCTGTTCATACACGCAATAAACATGCGGAGCCACTTGAGCAAGATCGACCATGTCAGAAATATATTTTAGTGTTGCTATACACAGACTTGCCTCTGTATATAGACTGATTACTGTACGAAGATTGTTCAGATCCAAAATCAACGAGTGAACTACTTAACCATAATCAGTAATTTGGATCCTGAGTTGGTACAAGAAAATGGTCTGATCTGAGAAATCTAGTAATCAAACGTGGGGGATCGTTGCAAACAAACAAACCTAGAATCAAAAATAAGATCAGTGTATGATAACTTTCTATTCACGATCCTGGTAAATAGACGAAGAGGCGAATGTGGGTTGTATTAGGGAAAGCTAAGCCACGATGGGACAAAGACTGGCTGTCATCGAACTCTTTCCCGTTTAGGCTCACGAGAGATAAACTAGGCAAAAAGGATCCACCGTACCAATCCTGTATCGTAACGCTACTGAACGAGGCCGTTCTATCCATACGCCCAATGAACACACTGCCGGGCAGAAGTCAACAGAATTCAAAC